CGCGACGGGTGCGGCTTCAGGGTCGGTGGCGGGCGAGAGCCGTGGCTGACGGGGCTGGCTGGGGCTGTAGCTGTTGGTGTAGCAGGTCCAGTGTGAGTCGGCGTCGCTATCATCTTCCCTCTCCGAGTCCTGGCCGCCGCCTGTTGCTCCGTGCCCAATGGTACTGCTGTCGCCCCTCTCCGCGTTGCTTCCCTCGTCGGGAGTGTCCGTCGGGATGGTGTCGTCCGCCCACTCGGCAGCGTTTGAGCCTCTGTCGAATTCCCTCTGTCACCCTGCCTGCCGCGAGCAGCTAGCTCTCGACGTAAAGGGATGCCGCAGGTCGCACCTCATATTGCCCTACCTCCAAGCCTCCCGGGGCACCTTCATGTATGTATGTAGGAAGGTGAAGAACAGCCAGGCTCGGACTGGACACCAACGCGGTACTCGAGTATGGGTGGACGCTGGACAGATGATGACGGCACGCACGAGCGACACATAGACACAAACAGGCTCACAAGACACACAGCCAGCGGGCGGCTGGTGCTGCCACACACCCTGAGTAGGCGTACACATAACTCAGGGCCACATCCTCCCTGTCGCCCGCCCCTGTCGCACTCCAAGGTGCCAAGAACCACCGCTCTTTATTCTCGTTTATTCACGAGGCGACCCCAGGGAACCTTGCCTCCCTAGTGGCGTGCTGTGAATAAACGAGAATACGCCTGGCCAAGAACGGCGGCAAAAGCAAGCCCCTCTCATCCGCCTCCAAGCACCTCGTCTTCCACCACCACTACCCGCCTCCAAGTGCGCCCGCCTGCCCGCCTGCCCCTAGCTGCGCGCTCCTGCGCTCCGAGACGTCAGAGCGAATCCACAGATGGTCGGACCACGCCGGACCATTCGCCGGCACAACTCTCTCCCGCCAAGCACAGGCCCTCTCGCCCTCTGTGCAGCAAGCCCCCGATCCCGCCGCCACGCCCCACGCCCACGCCCTACGCCCCACCCCCTACGCCCCACGCCCACGCACGCCCCTCCCCTGCAGTAAACATGCCGGACGCTCTGCGTGCCACCGACCCTCACCGCCACGTGCCCCCCCTCCAGCCCCCGCATGCGCCTCCCTCTCCGCTCCTCAGCTGACAATGTCCGTCTACCTCCTCGCTAATGGAAGCATGCCGCAGCCGCAGCCGCAGCCCGGGTTTGATGCAGGGGGTTCGATCACGATCAAGATGACGGGCCCGGGCGCAATCAAGAGGTGGCGTTCGTCAACCTTGATCACCTTTGCCCACCTCCACCAGCAAGCGTCGCAAAAGTTTAGCGTGGCGTGCTTTTCCCTCCGATACGACGACGACGAGGGCGATGACGTTGAGATCTCTACGGTGTGGAACTCTCCCTGGCTGTATATACTCCGCCGCCTAGTATCGTGACCCTGCGCCCTCACAGGATGACGAGCTCGCGGAAGCCATTCGTCAGGCTATGGTGGCAGACGAAAAGCCCATGCTGCGCTTTCGCCTCACGCCGTGCAACGAAGCCACCGATGACGGCGGCGGCGGGGGGGGCAACGGCGGCGGCGGCGGCGGCGGCTGCGGCGTCTGCTTTCCTGTGATACCTTGTTGATACCCAATCGTTGCCGTCTGCGTCGATGGCTGTCGGGTCGTTCATCTCGCGTGCAGTGCTCCCTTGATGCTGCTCTCTATCCATGGGCGACCGATAACCTTGACTAT